TGGATAGCTTAGAATGGAATAGGCCTAAACAAAATTGCTAAGTTTCATTCGAATATTGAATCCATAAACAAGCAAAATACAACAGTTTATTATTTATTCTCTATAAGAACTACATAGAAATTTGTAATTTAGGCTACACTTTATTGAATTTTCACCGTAACTGTTAGGCATACAATTACGCTTTGATAAACATATTTATTTCTTTTGTTAAGTTCTACAAAATGGTTTAAAAAGAAATGGTTAATAGGGTAAAAAATTGGAAAAACAATTTTCACCCCATAGACCCCTGTTCTCATAGTCCGATCATGCTGGTTCACAGACTCGTTCACAGGTTTGTACCGAATTTCACAAAAATCAGTTTAACTCGTTTGTTTGAGTTAAATAAATATGAATTGGGTTGTTTTTGGCCTCTGGGAACCTCAAAACGAATAAGCTTATCGGTCCCAGGTCCAGGTCTTGCTATGAGACCTATGGTAATAGAGGTAATAGCTTATTCCCCATATGAAAAATTTGCTAAAAGAGAAAGTGTTAAGTCCTCTATTTGGTTCCTCATGAAATGAAAGTTTTTGATTAGTTATAATGCACCTTGTATGTGCTGGAAGCGGCGGCTTGAGACATGCGGCCCTCTTTGCAAGCGGCCACTGCTTGAGTGAGACGTTGTTGCTTGTAGCTATCTTTGTTAGGCTCTCTTTTGTTGAGACATGATGGTGGAAGTCTTCCCAATTCAACCAGTCGGCTCTTTTCTCTGAACAGCGTTGTCTTTGGAATCTGAAAAATACATAAACTTGGTCAGTAACAACTATCAGACTCTGCATGATTGACATATTTTAGATTCGTCATAGTAAAAAATTTAAAATAGTGCTGTGATGAAATAGAAAAATCTAACATGTTTACCTGACTGTTGACTAAATTTATTAAAAGCAAATTTTACATCCAGACTGAAAGATACATTCAGCCTAAAAACCTCCTTAGATTATATGCAACGTCTCAGTAATTGCACCTCTCATATCCGGCCACCACGGTGTTGTTTTTACCTTATACATGGATGAAACTTTGTTAATCTTCTCCCCTCTCTCGAGAGCTCTGATAGCGGCTTCTTTAGCGTGAGGCTGATATCTCTGACGAGATTTGAGCCGTTGACTCAGAGCGTAGTTGCCGATTACCTTAGTGACCCGTCGCCACAACACAGTCTTAGGTATGCCGTACATTGCTGACGCAGACTGTAAACTCGCACCAGCTGTCAACCAAGTTCACAGTTAATATTTGTAGGCAAAAATCAACTTTTTTGTGCTATGGTCTACTTAGAGCGTTTAAAGGTTACTGAAAAATTACCAAGGAGTTATGTAAATTGCTGAAGAAAACTTTTAGCAAATTTCTCTATAGGGAAGTAGATTTTACCATAGGTGACACAGTAATACTAATTTTTGATCGTCGCTTGCTTAGTAAGGACCGCGGCCAGACCGTCCCCATCCCAACATGTAGTCTTATGGCAGAACAACAAAACAGCGTTGAGGGTGCCATGACGTCATTCCAATGCTTTAATATGGGGGCTTTAAGGAAGAGTCCAAAGTTGCGTGCACACTCTTAAAACAGGGCAGCCACCACGATCTGGATATTCTGTATTGCAAGCTACCGTTATGATGGGTAGAACTGATGTTGGCGCACCTGTTTTTTCATAACTCAAACCATCTATCTAATTTTTAAAACTAGAAAACAACCGAGCTAACCTCGAAATGTTATTTTGGTTTGGTGTAGGCCTAGTTGTTAAATGATTAATGAATAGAGATGTAGGAGTACTGTTCGTGCGTGTATCCTACAGACACTGTTATTAAGTTAAATACAATAGCAGCCTTGGAAAGAACTTTGCATAAATATATATCGTAGGCTAGGCATATGCATGTTTTTATTGCAACTTTGAGCCTTACATTTTTTTCAATTCTTTAACAAACTTGATTGATGTTAGGCTTTCGTTTACATATAAAAATATGCAGAGCCCTTGCAGAGACCTATGAACACCAGCCGCTACTGTACTGTATATACATATACGACTGTGAAGGCGATAACTTGAGTAAAGCCCGGTGTACACACTAAGATAAAACGTAACGATTTGTCTACAAGGACACTGCTTTCTCTGTCACAACATTTTTTGATTGGGTATTTAGTAACCATGACAACTTTAGTAGCCTGTGATTGGGTGATTAGTAACCATGGCAACTTGCTGAATGGGTGGATGAAGAGAAACTCAAGAAAGAATAGAAGAACAAAGAAAAAGAATAAGTGATGTTTTTATGTCATTGTTATCTTTATCGGTGTATTTTAGACTGTTGTTATCTAATATATAAAATTCTCGTGTCACAGTGTTTGTCTGCAAACTCCTCCGGAACGACTTCACCGATCGTTATGAAATTTGGTGTGTAAATTCTGTAGGTATGCGAATCGGACGTAAACTATTTCCCGTTTCGAAATTCTTAAAAGGGCTCTGCCCCAGTGGCTCTGGAGTTTCCCATGTTAACCTTATGAGAAATGGAATTAATGAATCTTAAGGGCGCGCTTTACCCCTGACGCGCAACCGAATGCAAGGGTTTGCAAGATTTCTCTTTTCACCTGCTACATTGAAGATAGAATCAAATTTAAGGTCTCATATTAAAGAGGATGAAATTTTCTATAGTTCTGCGTTTCTATATTTCAATTATCTTTATTACACACCTTATAAACTTGAGTTTTAGTACAAGAAAAAAGGGCCTTTTCGACTAGCCGTAACTTATTTAAAAAACGTTATTTGAAAATTTTAAAAACGCAGAACTATAGATTGGTCTTTTTACTACTATAATCCGTTTAGAGTGCGTAGCTATCATTATTGGTTAATTCGAAAAGAGTAATCTTGGAAACCTCTGCAAATTAAAAATTACCACTGTGCGGTGCCGGCGTCTAGCGGCAGCTCGGGGAAGCTCGCCGGAAATCCCCCTCTCAGCACCGCTTCTCACCCCTCCAATGCTTGATCCACGTGATTCCATCTGTCAAACCCGGCGCTACTCTACCTCTGTGTTTAAGAGTCTTCCGTAGTGGAAGCCATGTTGGATTTCCTCCCCATAAGAACAATGTTAACTTTGGGTCCAAATATCTCATCAGCAAATTGTCATATAATTATGGATAAGGAGTTAAATTTAAGGAATTGCGGTCCTCTAGAGATTGACGTTTTTTATTTCACAATTTTTAATTTTTATAATGAATAATTGATTATTAATTAGCTTAAAATTAAGCTAACTATTGAAAGGAAATGAAAATGGATTTTCGAAATTCAAAAACCTCAGTCAAGAGTCTATTATGTTAAAAATACAAATTATAAATTTCAAAGCTATATCTTAACAAATAACGCCGTTACGTGTCCACAAATGATGTAATGTTTAACATTGTTCTTATGGGGAAGAAATCCAACATGGCTTCCACTACGGAAGACTCTTAACTGTGTTTGTGAAGTTTAGAGATAGTTAAAAGTGAGTTTTTAAATGCCTGGAACTTCAAGGAAAACTCGTGTCAAACGACATTTGACACTTTCCACTAAAAGGAAAAGGTCTACAGCGAAGAATCTTGATAAGTGGCGGGAAAGAAAGAGAAATATTTGGTGAGTGGTTTGTTATAATATTGTTATTATTATTGTTAATTATGTTTAGGAATCAATATAAGCCAATTAATAAGCAGATAATAGTAGTTTACGCAACGATTGCGTTAAGTGAGTCTTTACGACACGAGTAGAAAATTTAAGGCACGAGCCTTGGCGAGTGCCTTAAAAACTTCTACGAGTGTCGTAAAGACTATTAACGCGAGTTGCGTACACTACTTTACCTACGACCGTTTTTTAATTACTATCAATCTGGATTTAATTACTAACAATCACTAATGATAACTTTTTAGAGAGGTTATGTTTTCGTGTATTGTTTTTGCCAGTGAAAGTGATGCAACGACTTGTTGTATAATCAGCTGATTTCCTGTAATTACGTGTTTGTTAAACGTCGTTAAATATTACATTGCTAGCAGCATTCTCACCATAAATAATATTGTATCAGGTACAATTCGGCAAATATTTCATTTATTTTTGGACTTCCACCAACTTAATTAAGAATACGCGAGTATCAACATGAACAAGTCGGATCAACAATTAAATTGGTCAACTGATCAGCTGATCAGCTGATTAGTTGACGTTCGAAGCATTACAATTTTAATTCTTTTCTCTCAATACTTGAACCTCATTGGTCCGTTACCTGTGTGGATATGAGAAAACTATGCGGATATGAAATGAAACTATGCGGATATGAAAGTAAACAGCTGTAAAGTGAAACTTTTCAATTCTAAGAACTGGACTGAAATGGCTACTTTAAAAAACGGTCGTAGGTAAAATAAGTACCGTAACTGTCTTTATAGGTTTGAAGGTCATTGTCAAAATAAGGCGAACTTATGACAAATAAGGCAACAACTGTTATAAGGGTTATAGCTACCAACAGACTGTCATTGTTTTGTTTATAATCCATATCAAAAATCTATACAATCTATATCAGCTAGTACTTTGTGCAGTGAAATATAGTAATAAACAGTGTACAAATAAATCTTAGATCTGTGTGTACCGGATAAGTAAATAACAGGGGGCCATTGTTAAAAATCAAATTATTAGTACCAGTTGTTTATACTCAATACAATAAACGCGCGGGCAATTTTTTTAAATGTGTTTTAGATTACCATAAGCGGGATAACTGTATGATTAAAAAAACTAAATACTTGCCTACTTAATCAATTGATAGATACTGGAAAATGTGTAACGAATATCAAAAGGTCCTTTTTAAAAACATTGTTTTTAAATTATGGAAAGTTTAATGAACCGGAATGAGCAATAAATAATCATTAAAAGGTTTAAAAAGGTAACCTAATCATTATTTAAACTACCCATTTTTTTTCAGCCTAGTATCTGCAAGCGAATGTCAGTCTAACGCTACTGTCTTCCATGATTTGCCAAAAACAGATGAATCAGGCATTACTTCAAAACATAACACAGTCATGTCAGAAATGAACAACAATGATGAAATAATAGAATCTACTGATACAAGGTAAGGTATTAATTCGCCCTGCCTGCCCGTTATTTAGCTTTTCATAAGGTTTATAAAGTATAGATGGTATTAAAGTATAAAAGCTCCTCCGAAAAAATGTTGGAATGCATTTTGAAGATCAACTATTTAGCTAAAACATTACCATTACTAATTAATCCTCTGCATTTAGTCGATCCTTATAAAATAACTGTTCATTGTTGCCAAACTGTGTAGGCCTACAGCTTACACAATCACTCGGAGAAATAAACCCAATTATTATTGAGTACAGTAGGTACAGACTTATCATATACCTTGTTCAGTATATATTTTTTTCAGCTTCGTACGCCTCTCCGAATGTCAGATTAGCGACAGCTTCCATCACAGTACTCCTAAAGACCATGATATAATTTCCAAAAAGGATAACGTTACTGAGGCTGAACCTACAGGAATACTAAACAATGATGATCTGCCTGATGCTGGAAGAGAGACTATTACCATCAGGTAATTAATGCATTATAAATAATATTGATGCTAGCTATTTTTTTTTTTACCAATCACTAACCTTATACAGTAGTATTAACTCGGTAATACAGTACATACAATTTATCTTTTTATCAATTGTACAGAGAATTAAAATATTAATGTTCTAACAGTTACTTGATAAATAATTAGAACTGACTAAAGTCAGTATAAAGTACAGTATTAGTAACTATTGTTGTTCATGTAGTTAAAACTATGTATTTAAAAATGTAAAATGTCTACCTATGTAGAATGTTTATTAAAACTACATTTGTTAATTTTAAATCGGTAAATACGTTAAATTTGATTATGTTTTTTGCAGGCGGAATGACAGTCTTGACAGTGACAAAACCAACTACAATGCTCTCTCCGGAGTGGTAAGTACATACGTGTAAGAAATGTCCTATGTTGATGAGGGAAATGGTCTTTACCTTTTTTATCATTTAAAATTACTGAAAACATTAGGTTTGTTTTTAATAATAGGTTTGGCTGAAAAAATACTATGTTAGTTTTGAAGTTATTGTTCTATGTCCAACCATTGCAGGGATATTAAAATTGCTAAACACCAAATTGCTAAAATTGCCATTCATAAATCGAAAATAAGTGAAGATATAAACCTAAATAACTGGAACTTGGTATCAAGCTTCATTCACTTTATTGAATCATATTGATGATTGCATAAAACACACTAATTATGCTTGTAAAAAAATGTACTATCATCCTTTGAACGACCATTCTTATTGCGTCACATTTCATTTTCAAGGCTTGCATCATGGGGTATAAGACCAAGAAGGTTCTCTTTGTCGGGGTTCGCAACTCTTATTGTTCTATCTGTGCACGGGCTGAGTACAAACAAATCCAACCAGCTGAACATGTGTGCTATAAGAATTGGACCAAGTCATCGACGGCAATGGAGGCTGACATAAGTGGAAGGGTTTAAAAAAAGTATCGAGATGTACAACTTGAAGTACGTGAATGTAATAGGTGAGTATTTTTTCGTAGGTTTGTCTATAGTTTACTTGCAGATAGGGTTTCTTCAAATATCGAAAATGCAGGCAAAAATTACCATAACTTTTTTTTAGCTACATCAATCAAATTTCAGATTTGTCTGTACATTTCTTACAACTATGAACGTTTTCGATAATTTTACCCAAAATATGAATAAATATGGAAAAAAAATTACATTTCATAGAATATGAAAACAGAGATAAGTCTTATCTCAATTTCTATCGGTCTGTCTGTTAATTGGTCTATTGTTTCATTTATATGTACGTCCACACACACACATAAGGTAAGGGAATTTTAGATCATTTTTCATAGATAAATGATCAAAACACCCAAATCCATTTATTTTATTTTAATTTTGTTACAGGTGAAGTGTCCAGCGTCTGCTAAAAACCTAACACCAGCAGAGGCAGTGCGTCAGAAAGTGATAAAATTTTGTTATCTCAATGACGAAGGAGAGCTGAGATTGAAAACACACCATTGCTACCATTACCAAGTGCAAGGGCAGCTTCATATAACCGGGAAGAAATACTGTTTGTTTGTAGTTTGGACACCTCATGGTTTGTCAGTGGAGAAGATCATGAGAGACGATGAGTTCTGGAGGAAGAATATGGAAAATCCACTAACTGACTTCTATTTCAAATGCATTCTGCCAGAACTTATTGATCCCAGATACCCAAGAGGGCTACCCATCAGAGATAGGATATAAATTCTATTAGGGTCTATATCCGAGATTTAATTCATCAAATCATCAAAATCTATAATCCATAATCAACTCAATCATCAAATCCTTATTAATAAATATATTTTCAAATAATTTTATAATCCTACCGAGTTTTTAAATAGTTGCCATGTAATCCAGGATGTGGACTAGGGTCCTGTTGGAAAATAAAATAATATTAGGTACTCTTTATGTATTTGTTGTGTATACTTTGCATATAGTGAAGAACAAATTATAATGTGTATTTGTACGTCATGTACACAAATTTACTTTTTTTACTGCCAATGTCCATAATTTTAAGATGTCTAATGGTGTAGAAAAAAAGTAATAATTTTGAATAACAAACATAGCTTACTTCGCTACATTCTACCATAGATGAAACAAACTTGTTGCTTAGTATATGATTTTACTGTACGCGATATCGGAGCGCTTACACCCAGTAGTAGCCTAGTTTGAGTTGTGTGGTTGTGTTGATGCGACGAGGCAAGGCTACCGAAAAGCGCTGGTCTACTGTGGCCGTGGCTGGCAGTGAGTGGTGCGCGGGCGGGCGCGACTGCGCGTGCGAGAGCCATCTCAGTCTCAAGCGCTGTGCAGCCCGGAGTTCGTTGCTTGCCAGTTGCGGCCATCTTGCCATTTCCCCTCTCGCCGCATCGCTCCTAGCGCTCCCAGCACATAACGGCGTAACTGGCGTTAGCAACAACGATCGCAGGATTTCTACTGCGGGTAAAGCGCGCCCTAACATATAGGCATATTCTTATTTCAAAAATCCTTTCGGGCTCCGCCCCAGTGGCTCTGGAGTTTCCCATGTTAACCTTATGAGAAATGGAATTATTGAATCTTAACAGCTGTTTCAATTAAACAAGTTGGTTCTGTTCTATGATGTTCAATAGCATTAAAGTTACAAGGATTACCAACAGGGTGCAGCACTATTATTTCTTTTACATTTATGACAACAGCTAATTTGCAACCAAAAGGTGAGTGAGCGTAGCGAACGAACTTCAACCTGGAGGCGAGTTAGCGTAGCGAACGAGCTAACCTGAAGGCAAGTGAGCGCAGCGAACAAGCTCCAACCTAAAGGTGAGTGAGCGTAGCGAACGAGCTCCAACCCAAAGGTGAGTGAGCGTAGCGAACGAACTTCAACCAGGACGTGATTGAGCGATGCGAACGAGATCATCTTGAAAATTAAACGTAACGGTACTTTCTTTCCATCGGTCTGTCTTAGGGGAAACCTATAACTTAGGCGATACGAAGTTCGCCGGGTCAGCTAGTCTATATATATAAAAGGCAAAGCCCTCACTGACTGACTGACTGACTGACTCACTCACTCACTCACTCACTCATCACTAATTCTCCCACTTCCCATTTACCTAGGAGGCTGAAATTTGGTACACTGATTCTTTAGACATTAAATAGGAAAACTAAGTAGTTTTTATTCTGATCGGACTCTCGGGCTCCGCCCCAGTGGCTCTGGAGTTTCCCATGTTAACCTTATGAGTACTCATATTTAAATGGAATTAATGAATCTTAACAGCTGTTTCAATTAATCAAGTTGGTTCTGTTCTATGATGTGCAATAGCATTAAAGTTACGAGGATTACCAACAGGGTGAAGCACTATTTTTTTTTTTTAATTTATGACAGCTAATTCGTAACCAAAAGGTGAGTGAGCATAGCGAACGAGCTAGCCTGAAGGCAAGTGAGCGCAGCGAACGAGCTCCAACCTAAAAGTGAGTGAGAGTAGCGAACGAACTTCAACCAGGGGCCCATTTCATAATAAAGTACAAACTAATATTATTAGTAAATCAGCTGATCGCCCAATGCAAATCTTATGGAAATTACAAGTTACAGGTGTAGTTTATTATGAAATGGGCCCCAGGACGTGATTGAACCATGCGAACAAGCTTATCTTGAAAATTAAGAAGTTAAACGGGGCAAAGCCCGTGGGTACAGCTAGTCATCTATAAGTAGGCTACCATTATTTTATACTTTCTTTATGCGTTATCTAATGTTTTTATCAAAATTCTTCTGTCCTGAAAGAGCGTAGCAGTAGCATATGACTAGCAGTAGCTTACTACACTTTCTATTTTTCTGTTCTTTATTTTGCTATACAATGTTTGCAATGTGTTTTTTGCGTAAACGTTTGAGAAATCTGTGATTTCAAACGTTACAGTTTTTATTACTGAACAAAGGTTAATGACTTAACATAATTATCATGATTGTGCAATAGCCTACTAATTGTATTTTGATGATGTAATATGCAAATTATCACATTAAATTCCATTTATACAGTATTAGGCATTGTTTACGAGTTCGAAATGGCTGTTTTATGTCATGTTGGATTAACTGTGGTTTTCAGTTACCGTGGTCTGTTCAAAATACAGTTTTACTATGTTTTTATGTCAATATTTGTTCCTCTGATAATCTGACCTTTTTGCTGTTCGGACCATGCTCCTGGTCCCGTAGGTGATGGATTAGCGAGGTTCTATTGTACCTGTGTAGCCTACTTTTTGATTGTTTTAGCCCGCTGCATAGTAAACAGCAGTGTTGGGAAGTAGTGCGCTACAAGTAGCGACGCTACAGTAGCGCGCTACTTTTTTTGTAGCGTTAGCTGTAGCTACGCTACTTTTAAGATTTTGTAGCTTTAGCTGTAGCTAGCTACATTTTTAAAGTAGTTGTAGCGGAATTTTAGCAACTTTTCTCGCTACATTAACATTGTTTGAGATAGTGTTTTTTATCATAACCTCAACCTTACGTGAAACAACTAACAACCTCTTTCAAACAGAGATTTTAAAAAAAAATTAGGCCTACTTTCTTGGCTTTATACAGCTGGTTGCAGCCGTTTCATTCCCTATTACAACGTTGTGTGGACATGGAGGCCATTAAATGAGTGTTATCCACATTTTTGGCTCTAATTTCCTTAATTTACTACTCTATGATTACTGTCAGATAAAATAAAATCACTAGATGCAGACGACGTTTAAACGTTACCGGTGACAAGAGAAACTATTGCTTGCAAGTAATTGACAGGGAAATTAGTAATCAATTTAGTTTCTTTATTACATCGATAGTGTTTCAACTTGGGTTTTAATGCAAACCAAAAACCAACACTAAACCTTAAAATAATGAGAAAGCTGGTCTATCAACCTTTGCTTCAGCTGTTGATATTGGTTCATCATCACAAGCCCTTCCTTGGTTAGATTACGAAGATTGTTCAAAGTTTTACTAAATTAACAGAGAGGAAATTACTTGAGATTTAAGATATGCCTAGACTACATGATAATTGTAACGAAAAAATCCCCATATAACATGAAACTTAAATTGAAAAAAATAGCATAGTTTGCTCCTGCTAACAGCTCTTGTATAGGACTATTCCTAGGCTATGCTATGGTTTATGAAGAATGCCAAGTTCCAAGTTCAATTATTATGAATATATCTGTTTAGTCCTTGCAAGAACAAGCCTACTATAGCCAACTTGTTACATAGCCAAGTAGGCCAACATGTTATTTTCAAATTTGTTACTTTACAAATTTCAACATGTTTAAATTAAAAGCTGATTTCAGTATGAGTTGCTGAATACTGTTTTCTGTACCAACTAGGTTGAAGCACAATTTGCCCTATGCATAATGACAATAAAGGACGATTTCTTGACATTGAAAAGTGTTATTCATAGAACAAGTAACTTATCACTATGTTTTAAAGTTATAGCAATGTCGTTTTTAACATTAAAAGAAAAAAAAGGCAATAAACTCCAATTTCAGTAGGCTAGGCTCTGTAACACAAAAAATATTTTTTAAATAATCGTTTTACAGTTTTATTGGTCTTAATTGTTGATATAAGACATCTATAAATGAATCTATATTTAAGAAATAAAATGAGCTTTTAAAATATAGTTTGGTTGTGTGTCCTTTGAACTTAATGAAATTTACATAAGTTGCTTAAAAATAATGCAATAAGTTATTTAAAAATAAGTAGGTACTTAATATGATGGGACACCCAACTATTTTTTTCTGTTGTTGTAACGTTTGGTTTATAATGCCAACAAATTAAATACACTCTAGGAATAATTTGTTTTCCAAGTAATGTTAGTTACATTTGTGACATTTTTTGTTTAAATGTTTGTTCAATAAAAATGAAGTTGAAATTAATTTTACATTTACCTAATGTGCGTGAAATAAAAAGTAACGTCTTTGGAAAAGTAGCTAAAATTGTAGCTGTAGCTACATTTCATTGTAGCTGTAGTTGTAGCTAGCTACTTTTTCGGAACTGTAGCTGTAGCTGTAGCTAAGCTACTTTTCAGGAAATGTAGCAGTAGTTGTAGCTAGCTACATTTTAAAAGTAGCTTCCCCAACACTGGTAAACAGTTCATAAACTCCTCATTTCATCTGTACCTCTCACATCTTAGTCACAACAAAGAACTGTGGCTGAGTGAATGAGGTATGATACCACACTGATGCCAATAATTTACTTCATTTACTTAGTGGTGAAGTTTTTACTTTGTAATTTTTACAGTAATTCAAGATTGCTTTATCTTCAATAGGAAAAAATGAGTAATTTCAATTGAAAAAATTTTAATAATTTTGAAATGTAGAAAATGTAATGGTATTTTTTACCTATCTTTACTATCTGATTTGTCCACTTATTCAACAATTACCGATGCCTGTTTAGTGGATAGTCAAGACTCTACTCTAAGTCGAGCTATGAAATGAGTTCACTCTCAATCTAAAAAAATACTTGTTAACAAACTTATCCATTCTGGTGATCTTACCTTTGACCATATTGACGGCTGCTAACAGGTTCTCCTGTGAATACTCATAACGTGAGATGGAGGGAGTGATGCCGTAACTCTTGGCCCGAGCGTACAGCGTAGACCGAGGTATGTTATGTGTGTTGGAGGCCTCTAGGAGGCTTAAACCATTCGCCATATCTTCCAGAGCTGCTGACAAAGCTTCCTCACTGCAATCAAATAGATAAGTTACTGGCAGTGGATACATCATTAACCTTACATCACCAATTAATATTTTTAAAATAGACTGTTTCATGATTTTATCATCTCATTGTGAATATGGGTGAAAAATTTTGAGATGTGGTCGTATGAATAATCAGGCAGGGCCGGTTTAACCCATACGCGAACTACGCGGCCGCATATGGCGCCACGAAAAAGTGGCGCC